GCCGAAATCGGCGAAGGGGGACGTCGCTGGCGATCTTCGGTTGTTAGGTATTACGTCACGGCGTCGCTCCCAATAACCAGCCAGTGCGGCCTCCCTTGCTATGCGTCCTATCGCGTAGCCTTTGGAAATTTGCATCCCGCAGCCGTCTGTCGCAGCTTGCAGAAGGTGTTTCATAGCCAGCTTCGGGCTGTGCCGCCATCTCGTGGCGACGTTGCGAACTTCGGATTCCTGTGCTCTAAACCAATCCTAAGTACTGCGCGTGTACCAAAGCACTAATTTAACGCATTAAAATATAAACAAAAACAAGAAAAAAAATTTGCAGCGTTTCGGGATTGCGACTTTGAAACGTGGATTTTCTTCGATCTCCTTATTATTTAATTCTGCTTATTATTTCGCGAACGTAAGAAACATATTTTCACGGTCCTTTAGATGGACGAGGTGTTAACTCGTGTGCCGAGTCATGCATGGATGCGATTTCTTTGGTTAGGGCAGGTGCGAAGCAAGCGGGCGCACTGGCTCATCCATCTTCCAGCCCGCCATTCCCCATGTTCTGTGGACACAGGCTGACCCGACGCGGAAATCTGCGAGGCCATTCCGCAGCAGCAGGCCTCGTGCAGAGACTCATCCATCCCCGAGCCCGTGCTTCTTCGGCAAAGTGGCGGCCATGAACGCTTGGACGCTTCGGTTCGGCCAGTGGATTGCGCTGGCTGCCGTCTTCAGTTCCGCTGTGGGCAACCTCTGCGAGGATAGCCCGGGTGAGTACAGCGTACCTGGTCCCCTCCTCCCCCCCCCCCCCCCCCCCCCCTTACCAACAAAAGGACAAGGTGTTTTTTTTACCTCGAAACTAAACTGCGCATTACCCAATTTTCAGTGTCCGCCCCAATGCAGCTCGAGTGGTCTTGACCAGATGCCAAAGTTTCAAAACAAACGTTTATCTGATTCAAACGTTACGTTATTATCTCAATATTTCAACGGGAGAACGGAGAAATAGCGAGGAACACCCAGGCGAGCGGTGATCTTTGAATATCTTAAACACCCGAGACTTGGGAACAAGAAGTGGGGTTGTTTCTGCGGTGCTTTGTTGCAGAAAAGGACACAATGCGATAGCCTCTGGACGTTTGTTTTATGAAGGCGACACCCCGCTAACTCAATTAAAATGAACCTCGTTCCCTCAGTCAGCTCTTGGTCGTAGCAGATCGAGCCTACCTTCCTAAGGGCTCTTTTTTCCGGCGTCTCGTTGGCCGGCGAACATTCCGAGCCTCAGCGGACCTCCGCTTCTATTCACCGATGTCCTCTTCAGACCGCTTCTTTTCTTCAGAGGCCTCGTAAATACGACCAGAGCACTTCGAGCAAGCGAGCCTTCTGTCATAGGATAGGATTATTAATGGATGGTATCGTAGATGGATGGCCGAAAGAAATTAATCTAAAATTGTGTCTGTTGGGTTTTTCTTTAATCCTAAGTCTCGAGTGTTCAGTATGGGAAAAATAGAGCCGGTTCCCTGTAGCTGATGCCATTCGCCTTCATGTGTTCATGGTCATCATTTCCGATAGAAGCTTTTCTGAAATTACTCGTAATATTTTATTAAGATAACGGCTAGTACTCAAACTCTGGCGCCTCATCTGAACTGATATATTTGGACAGAAACTAAACATTCAACGACGCGCAGTTCACGTTTTCATGTAAACATTACACTTTTTCTCTTTTTTATGGTGGGGGGGGGGGGGGGGAAGGGGGGCGGACACACCGTCTAGTACACGGAGCTACACGTTTAACGCGAGCAGGTGATCGCCATGTTACTGTATTTGTTATCTTCATAACTAGAATCTTTTCATCTAAAATGGTAATGCAGCATAGGGTGCTCATTACATGCCATATTGCCGAACAAATACGGACATCTTGATCGCACAAACTGTAGCGCGCCCTTTTTGTGTGCATGCGAATTCGTCAAGCTTTTGTTCCTAGGGGCAATGAAAAATGAGCAGTGTTTGATAAGCGCCGCCGTTTGTGTTCTGCACAGAATGCAGACATAGAAGATGGAATAATCATAATCATATTAATATTAATAATCTTTATTTCCCTTTCTTCACAAACAAAAAGGGGAAACAAGACCAAAAACTGCGAATTTGCAGCTTGACGCTCCTTTCTGCCCCCTATGGCAGAAATGAGTAGAAAAGTGTTTAACGATAGAAATGAAAAATTTGAATTACAAGATTCGTTAAAAATTGAATTAAGACATAATGTTATAATTTGACATCATCGGACTTAAAAAAAAGGCAACAAACAAAAATTAAGCTACAAAACTAAACACTAGAAGCATGTTCATACATCTATTTTCAGGAGCATATCATGTAGCACCCAGTTTCAATTCCTATTTCTATCAATATTTCTACTTTCGAGTTGATTTATGAGTAGGGTTATGAGTATTCTGGTAAATATGAAAAAAAAAACTCCAAAACCCCAAATAAACTAAAGACCGTTGACCCTGTGCGGTGATCAATTAAGATTGATCACCGCACAGGGTCAACGGTCTCATGAAAATGCCATCACGGTTATCTTTCAAATCTCGGATCAGTGACAAAAGGCGTCTTACCGCTTATCTCGTCAAGGTTCATTAGGGACAACAGGTCATTGTACTTTCAGGTCGGGAGAAAAGCCACTGTATTGGTTTTCAGTTTGGGCAAAACTATTCGTGTTTTCAGAGGAAGGAGAGGTTGTGTTTTTGTAACAGTGAAAGCTAGGGACCATAGAGATTGCATAAAATTGGAAGAGGGGCAGTTGAATTTTCCCTAATACAATCCTTTACCACTCCACCTCGCGCGACCCCGGAGTAGGTTGATGGAATAGGAGGGGAGGGATACGTGCTTCCCAGCAACTATCTCCAGGAGTTTATTTCTAAGGTATCGACGTTTATCGAAGCCACAGAGGTGTGCAACTTTTGCCGTGGCACAAATTAGTATTGCCAATGGCAATGACGCAAACATAAAAATCCAGCTGAAGAGATGTTAATTTATATAAACGCGTTGAATTTTTCTTTAGTAATACGTTTACACTCGGGTACTATTTATTTATTTTTCGTAGGAAACACTGTGAAATGAAGCTCCGAATTGTGAAAATTTTGGAATCAAACAAAAATAAACACCTTTAAACTACAAATTTTCGGAAAAAATAAATTCCGAAAGACACCTTTCAAATTTGGCGAGAAATAAACTCCGAAAACATAGAATCCGATTTATCAGTATTGACAAAGTGCATTTTGAAGACGCAAATTCATAATTAGTGCGGCGAGCGAAAACACACCAGTACACGCCATGTCAAGTTATTAATGGAAAATTTGTTCTTACCAAACCTGACAATACAAACAAAGTAATTGTTGTGTTTTATCGCAGTATTATATACTGCCATCGAACGATGAGAGCATAAATTAATGAATGGCATAACTTTGTGTTGTTTTTTTAAGTTCTCCAGACGAATGCAAAAAAGAAATGTTTTCGACTATAGGAGATTCGTTTTTTTTTTTGTGTTAAAAGCAGTTGTGCTAAGTTTTGCTTTATCGTGATGTCCCTAACTAGATGGCAGTAAACGTAGTGTGTGTAGAACACATAATAGTGCCGCGCGGATTGACCGAGAAGGAACGATTCTTGCTCCTTCTCGATTAAGGAACGGCCAATCATAACATAGATAGGAAACTTTCGCTCAATCTGGCGGATTCTCAAAAGTTGGGTGACCATGGGCACGGCCTGGAGGAGGGAAGATTGAGCGTACTCTAGAGGAAGAAGCGGTGAAGGCGTTAAGAACTGGTGATTCCGGTGAAGCACAGGTTGCACAGTTGACGACTGCGGCGATTAGGGGTACAGCCGCCATTCTAGGTACGTTTTTCCTACGGAGTTGTTGACTGGTCGCGCGACCAACGCTACTTTAAAAAGGGGTATCCGTGGCATCCACCCAAGCGTCGTGTTTTTTTTGTTTTTTTTTCGTCCATTTTTTTGTGTAACACAATTATATATATGTTGGAATTACGTGTTCTACTCGCTGATCCAGAGCCTCCTTCCGAATTTCCTCGAGTTCTCGTGCAGACTTCCGCCGCTTGGCCTCGGGCGCTCGCGCGTGCACAGAACGCTTCTCGGAAAAGGTTCATTGCGACTCGCAACGGTCACGTGACCGACTAGGGACATGCGACAGGGGACTCTCGACGTTCCCATTGCGGGCGATCGGCGAGTAGCTATTGGCGAGTTTCTTGTCGAAGCTCACGAGAGCCGAGCTCCACCACTGTGCTTTTATTCACTCCAAGCTTTCACCGTTCTTTTACGCACTAATTCGTCCAAAACTCGAATATATCGTTTCAGTCTGGGATGCTTGTCATGAAAATTTAATTCCCTTACTCGAAATGGTCCAGAATAACTCTGACCGCTTTATTTTGTCCAACTATAACAGAACTGCGAGCATAACCACAATGAAATCCAGCCTCGACTTTGCCTCTTTCACAAGTTTTTTTTATCACCCCCATCTCCGCGCCGAACTTATATTGCCTCCCCGATACGTTTCATCTCGATTAGATCACGTCCATAAGATCGGTGTCCCATCGTGCAGAACTAAGGCTTTTTTTCACTCATTTCTCCCACGCACATCGGAAGAGTGGAATCGCCTTCACGTACCAACAGCTTCAATCGAAGTCCAACTGTTTAAGAACGCCTTAGAAAATATTGTATGAATACACGCCATTTTTTGTACTTCTACTAACTGCTTTCTTTTACTTTATCATCATTTATTTTTTGAAGCCACTCCCCTCTTCAATGCCAAAGGCCCTGAGGGTACAAGTAATAAATAAATAATGAATAGACCCCATCGAACTGGCCGATTACAACTGATGATAAGTACCAGGATCACAACTCGTGTCGTCCCGGCGAACAAAGTATGCTGACGTCGCAGCTGCTCACGCGTATCTTATTTTTCCTTCTGAAGTGTAACAGAAATTTTGTTTTCGTGTTCGCAGAAGAGGCAACCATGCTGCAGGTCATCAAACCTGTCGCGAGAGCCCTCTTTAAATGCACCGACGAAGTTCTTCTCAAGTACAAGCTTCGCGGTGAAGTAATCAGCACAGTGAGTGGAGTTCGTGCCTTTGCGTGCGATTACTTACTAGGTTTATGTGCAAAACCAAACCTTTAACTGTTTTCAAATACGTGTTCCCCATTGATTTACTTGACACAGCTTCCCATAGTTAAACGTGTAAGCTCAAACAAACAAAGTCATGCTTAGGCGTTTATTTATGCTGAGCTTTGCTTCAAAATGACTGCCTACGAAGTGTCCCAAAAAATTATTAACAATTTTTTTCCAGCAAAATCTAACTAGGAGTTTTCGAACGCTCATTTTTCTCAAAAATGTTGGGCTAGTGGTCCGATCCAGATGCAAAAGTTTCAGAACGAAGCCTTATCAAAAGTACGTGACCTTCTAAAGATTGTGGCGGTCTGTTCTATCGTCTAGAGTTCCTGTATAGGCTCCCTACGGGAGCCAGAGTTGCGCGTCTGTTTTCCACGTGCCGCCGCGCCGCTATTCGCCGAGATCCGATCACGTGAGCTGCCGGATCAAGTGCCGTGCAACGTGACGTTGCACGCGCCCCGCCGAGGAGCTGGATCAACATGCCGTGCAGGAAAGACGGTGCTACGGGTGTGAATGCGCAACTCTGGCTCCCGTAGGGAGCCTATACAGTAACTCTACCATCGTCGTAAGAGATCGTAGGAGACTTTAATGCACATGGTCGTAAGTAATCGCAAGTGTGTAAACAAGCCATAGCAGCGACTGTCAAATCTGAGCAGGAGGTGGTGGCCTTTGAGAAACAGCTATGCTATGCGCGCATTTGTATCCTTGCCCTCTCGTTGTCGTTCGTCAGGGTCTGCGCACCATCTGTGAGAACTACGCCACCTGCTTTGGGCACAGCGGCGGGAAGAAGCCGGTAAGCAAAGATTCGTCCTCTTTTTTACAAACTCAGAACCGCGAAGACTCGCTGTAAGTGCTAACAACTGAGTTGCTAGGATCCAGGGAGGATAATAAAATATCAAACTTGCCTTGATCCTTCTGATAAGCCCCGGGGAGCAGAAACTGTGTCTTCCGAGCCTTTAGTGTGCGCTATGATTTGCTATGCCTGGTTACAGAGATGGTTTCGGATGCGCTGCACACACGACAGACGCTTGTGCTCGCCGGGCTCATCAGATTGATCGAGGCGAGTTTAAATGTATTCAGGAGTGCCGAGCCTCCCGAGCATGCTTTAATATTAAAAGGCCTGTTCAGACTTACAGCGGAGCGCTACAAGCATAGCTCTGGCCTAGCGCGCGCTGACGGGAGCGTTTACTAGCTTTGTATCGCACCGTCAAAACTGTTGCTCATGGCAGACGAAAAGTAGCTGACGACACGTGAGCAGCGCTACATCAGCGCTTCGTTGCATGTGTCAACCGTTCTTTAGTTTTCTATGGTCCTGATTTTTGTGCGTTTGTGTGTGTAGGGCTTACGGGCGTATTTTTAAAGGCTACTGGACTCAACTCCACTCTCCCTCCACTCCCCCAGTCGAGTAAAGGAGAAAAGAACACCTCTACTCAAGGGGTACTTGGCCTCACAGTCGCTTCTCGGTGATTCCTCGACGGAGGAATCCCTCGAGATTTCTACTCCACTCCAGCGTTCCCGGGGGATGTCTGAAGGCGACATTATAGGAACATGTTTCGTCTAAAATATAATTTTAGTGCAATATATAAATTTATGTATTTGTTATCTTTGAAAGAACCTTCTTTACATGCACCAAACTGGTGGATTTCAAGCTTTTCTCTAGCCGGCGCGAAATTATTAGTTGTTTAACCGTTGCAACAAACATACGCGCTTTCCATTCTTGAAGCTGTGTGGGCAAAAGGACAGCTGCCAGGTTTTTTCTTGCCGTATTCGACTAAGCATCAAGCCTTTTTGAGGACAGGTTTCTTACAAGAGGTATGTTTCTGCTCTCTGTTATTTTAACTGGAGGTTGCCAACTAGCACAGTTCTCATGTTTGGCATCCTCCGAAATGCAGCCGTAACATTCACACCGAGTTCGAATGACACTTGACGACAGTTAACATAATTTATACATTTGTTTTGGCATGAAACCACGGTCATCTGGCACAAAGAGCGTGACGAAGGTGCCAGTATAATTGAAACCCGGATTTCCAACATGATAATTTCAGTGCAAGCTTCGAAATTCATTGTGATACTGTGCACGCGTGGGCTCGAAGGCTTATGCCTAACCGCAGAATAGCTGCTGCTGATGGACATACTAAATCTGTTTTAGCATGCCTTCAATGCTGCATGCATAGATACGTGGGGCATAACCAGGGGGGGGGGCCTGTGTGGCTTCAGCCCCCCCCCCCCCCCCTCCCGCCTTCCCCGAAATCCAGCCGACCCTATAATACGCACATGCATTTTGACCCCCCCCCCCCTCCCTCTCCCTCTCCGCACCCCAAGTCATGGACATCCCAGCCACCTCAACCCCCCTCCCCCCCCCCGCTCCAAAAAAAAAAAAAAAAAAAATTCCTGGCTACGCCACTGATAGGTAGAGAGCCCGAAAAAGAAAGATACGGCCAATGCAGTTCAACTACGTTTTTGGAATGGTAACTCCGGTCAAAGTTCGAATCAAAGAGTTTTAGAATAGCGTAAAGACCCTTGCGTCAGCACTGCGTACAACGCACACTAGCTGTCGACGTAAGGTTACGGAGCGCGTTGAACACACACTTTTAGTATAGCGGAAGGCAAACGCATACGTAACGATACGTAAAGACTTGCAGCGCCATCTAGATCTGCTCCTGCGAACTGCCTAAAATAATCCAAGGCGGGTATTCGGTCAAGCAAAATGAACACTGCGAATCTCTTCGCTTTGCTACGAAGTGCGTGAATCTCTTTCCAGTTGCTTGTTGTAAATGTGTTTTGTCTTTTTTTTTTCTTTTTTTTGGGGAAAGGGGGGGGGGGGTGCTGTGCGACCAGCAGTTCGATCTATGGTTAGCTCCAGTGTGTTATGGGATCCCTACTATTTTATGTTGGCCTCGTCATTTGCTTGGAATTATGCAAGCAATAGGTCGCACCGCTCGCGTACCGACCGCACGGTAAACACCTTTTTGGGTTCGGCGGCGTCGCCAACGTTCTTGGCTATTGACACCCATCTTTGTGGGCGCTCGAAAGAGTTCGTCGCGTTGATTTCTTTGAGGAGGTTGTGGGTCGCCTGTCAATACCGCCCGATCAGGCCGAGTTCCACTCGCTCCGAGGAAGTCACACGGTGAAGCGCTACCATTGGGAAAAGGTTTTATCTGTACTTAAGTTCAGAGTCCGATGAAGAGGAGTGCCAAGGCTGTCAGTGGTCCGGGTCTTCGGTTGGAGGTCTTGTTCGGCACCGGCTCTTTCGTCTGTCTCCAGCGCCGAACTCCACGTGTCCTCGCCCGCCACGAGCCTCGCCCTTTGTCTTTTCTTCTTTCTCTTTCTTCCGCAAGGTTGAGGGTATCTTCGATGGTGAAGCGAACCCGTACGACGCGCGTAGCTCTTCCACTGGTTTGCCTCACCGCCGCCATTTTTCAAACTGGAGTAGTCTCGCGCTTTCCCGTTCGCGACGAGAGAAACGAGAATGGTACGCAGGGGACCGCTACGTACACTTGCAAAAAGCGATAGCGAGCGTACGTACGCATAGCTCGCCGCAGTACGCACGTATGGCTCATGCGCAGTATAGAGGACGCAGCGTTAACGCTAACGTAGGGGGCTTACGTTTGCTGCTATACATATTACGAAAACTCTCTAATGACTGATATCGATTTATTTAGGGGGTTGGCTGTCTGTTAAGCAACCTTGTATCCTGATGTCATCTTGGTTTTCATTAAGGTTTCTTGTTCGTACTGCCACTTCTTTCGCCGTGTTTTTCTGCAGTGTTTTTAGCCGTCATGGCAGACAATTTTTGCGTGTTGTGTTACGCTTCAGCGGCCATAGTTATCAATGCTCTTCGGCGATAGCGCACGAAAATGATTAGGGAGTTTTCTTAGATCGTTTTGGCCTTTCCGCAACGCTATCCGCTACCCGCTACGAGATCCGCTAACAGAAGCATAGCGGAGACTCAGAAAAGTGCTTTCGTGGACCGTTCTCTGCAGGCTACGGTACTGCGTAGAGTTCCTGTATAGGCTCCCTACGGGAGCCAGAGTTGCGTGTCTGTTTTCCACGGGGCGCCGCGCCGCCATTCGCCGAGATCCGATCACATGAGCAGCCGGATCAAGTGCCGTGCAGGAAAGGAGACGTTGCACGCGCAGCGGCGTACTACGTTCCCCTGTTCTTGAGCGCAACGCGCGCCTCGAACGCGCGGCGCCGCTATTCGCCGAATTCAGTCACGTGACGAGCGGGATCAACGTTCCGTGCAGGAAAGACGGCGCTACGGAGATGGGCGCGCCACTCTGGCTCCCGTAGGGAGCCTATACAGGAACTCTAGTACTGCGATTATGACAGCGCCACTAGCGGTCGTAAAAAGCACTACATAAAACATTAAACGCATACTATTACTGCAACCACGTATTTGTCTTATCAGAGTGCCTCTTTTCGAACACAACACATGGTTAATTTACGATTTTGAATGTCAATATTTTTTTCTGGATAAATTCTTCGTAGCACATCTTGCCAGCTTGCGGCAATCGCATTTTGCTTAAAACCAGATTCAGTTCTGCCAAGCCAATACTCTCCTTGTCATCTCGTGCTCTTTTATTATCGTGGACGCGTTCTCCGCCATTAGACCGATCTCACTAGGCGTTCGGCGCATGCGTGTCGCCGCCATAACTTTAGTTCACAGGAGGGAGACGGCCGTGCATGCGAGGGCTCGTGTCGTCTCGTGCTCCACACGCGAAGAGCTCCAGAGGGGTTGTCGCACGTGCAGAAAGACTAAAGTTTCCACGATGCATCGCGGCAGCGGTGGCGTAGTCAAACTGACTGGTGAGATCGGTCTATTCCGGAAGATGCAGCGGCTCAGCGTTCTTGAGGGCCAACTTTTATTCTCCAGTTTAAGTTGGAGGAAATAGAGGATGATGTATTTGATGTTTTCGGAACCGCCAAAGCGGTATTATGTTATTTCACTCATGTGCGCCTCTGGTATGGTGTAGTTTTGAAATTTGTATTCTATAAACGAAAAAACAATATTGTTCTTTTTTTTTTGTTTTTTTTAAGGCGCTACCGATTGTTGATTAGCAAAGAATATTGTCTTCAGTCTTTAGACTTTCTATATTTGGCTCTGGAGAGCCGCGGCATCGCGGAAAGGCACCAGCTCGCACCATGGAGGCGCGAGGTACCGCGTCTATGCTCTGTTTCACCATATGTTGTACCGCAGCGAAGGCTAGAAGCACGAGCTCATAGCGTTGGCACCTGCCCCCAACGCACGAGGGCATGTGCCGCCGAGATGTACCCCGGAGCAAGGAGCTTGCGCTTGTAGCCTTTCCTGCGGTACATCATAAGGTGAAATAGAGTATAGTGAGCATGATAATGTCATGAGTACATACATGCATAATTACGACGACATGGATTGATGGTATTGGGAAGGGTGGAAGGCCGATTCGCAGAAGTCCAGATTTCGTGGAGGCGGGTTGGGTGGGTGAGAAGCCAGCTGGCGGATCTGGCACGCCGTTCGATCGGTGCATGAAGGAGCCTCTGGAACATTATGGCGCTGTTGCTCACTGGAGTCCACTGCGGTCGAAGCATCAGGCTGCAAGGAGGCAGCCCTGTCAAAGTAGAAGCTGCCGCCTCCGAGGCACCAGGGCTCAGATTGAGGCACCGCCATCGCCCGGTGTGTTATCCTCTCAACGTCGTCGTCGTTGTGTTCTTTATTTATACGCCTATATATGTATAAATAAAATAAGATAGATAAAAACACACACAAGCGAACGGCCAGCGCATCTCGAGATCCGCTATTTTGTAAGGAGCCTT